TTTTTTTTTTTTGGCTAAACTAATACACAAGACAACAATGCTAAGAACAGACCCAAACCAGCCCACACTTAATGCTAACCTACCTCACTCACTCGCGTGGCCGTCTTTTGAATGAATCGCATAAAACCAGTCACAAAAGTTGTTTATCTGCAAATATTCAGCAACAGTGAGAGAAAAAAAAGCAATTCCTAATAAAAATATCCAACCATTGAACCAGACAGTTGCCAGCATCAAGTACGACAACAACAACAATAACAGTACGACTACTAATCGAACTACTAGCGGGGCTGCTACCAAAAACCCAGTCACCATTAACATTTTCAGGTTTTTGTTATTATTTTTTTTTTGGATTTTTAACTTATATTCTGATATCAAAGATCAATTTCAATGGTACACATATTTTTGAGATTGTTTCTTTTTTTTTGCATTATGAAAATAACTGCTATTTTCAAATACCAAAGCCTGCTTTTTTTTGTGATTTGTTTGAGGCCCAAAATAAACAAACTATATGTGTGCCTGTCTATGGTTGTTAAACAAGTTGGGTTTTAAAACATGTTAACTGTTTTAACATGATTTGGATTTTTTGCATAAAATGTATTACGTGTGTTTTGAATTCAAAACAATTTGATTTGATCAGCAATTTAAGGAGGCGGTTATGAGTGCTACAAAATGTTTCGTTATTAAGAAAAAGACTCCAATAAACTCGCATGACTTCATTCTGTAATTTACTTTTTGTATATTCTGTGGCATTACTATATTTTCGATTCTTTGGAAGTTATTTTAAAGTAGTTACTTTGAAAATAGAAATGTATACGAAAGTTAGAAGAACTTTGCACCACACAGAGAGCAGAACTAAAGGACTAAAAAAGAAGACGATAAATATATCGAATTCGTCCAAATTCCTGACATTTAGTCCCATCACAATGCTTCCACATATAAGGCCTAAATCTTCTAAGATGTTTGAGAACGTAGATTCTCTGGACCGCGTCAGTATGTACGAATTATTCTAGAGTATAATATGAATAAGAGACTTGAAACAGAGGACTGGACAATAGAAGAAAAAGGAAAAGATAAAAATCTTTAATTCTAGAGGTTAAAGGATAACATATGAGTAAAGATGTGGAACAGAGGACTGGATGATAAAAAGATATGGAAAATATAAAAATCTTTGACTTTATACCATTAACTGCATCGTCAAATAGGTACTAAATCATCTTAAGATTTGAAGAACTCTGATCTGATCGCCTAAATAAAGTTGGTAAAGTATGAATCCCTGATGTCATTCGTCATATTTATCGAAGACAATTCTGTCATTCCCCAGCAGTTCAGTCGGACAGTATCGACCAACCTACCACTTAAGGTTACCCTTATCCACCGATTGCCTAGGTAACTAGCTATTTTAACATGTGCTTGTCCTATGAAGACGTCAATGGTCACCCCATAGATTACGTGTCTAGTTTCTCGCTTACAAAGGGGACTCTAAAGTGACGATTATATCCACATTCGTTTACAAAGAGTACTTCCGTGACGTAAGACGAATTAGAGCCAACTAGATGGTTAGACGTTAGTGGAAATCCCTGTCTTTTTCGGATGCATTAACTTTTTGTCGAGCTGCTGGGTCTAACTGAGACTGGGTCTAATTGATACTTATGAACCTCTCTATTTGTCCTCAACTATGGCCTTAGTCGACTTAGGAATTGTAATACCCTAATGGGCTCTGAACTAAATCACATTTCGCAAGAGCTCTAAACCCAGCTTCAATGCTGGAGAACAAAAAGAGAAAAAACCTAGACGAAAAAAGAAGGACTGGACGATAAAAGAAGTCACATACATATGTATGTGTTAGTGGCTGAAGGTAAAGATTTTTGAATATCTCTGAATTCTTTCACACTCTGACATGCTTGATCAAATAATGCCTTAATCGACTAAGTAGTTGAAGAACTTTAATTCTCAGGACCACACCCCTTTTTGAAAGAGTGTGAATAGGGATCCCTCCTTTAATTCTGGTGGGTAAAGATAAGCATCTGAATAAGAGACTTGGAACAAGGACATTGGAACAGCTCACACTTTGACGGCACTTATGCCTTAATTGACTTAGGAGTTGAAAACCTCTGATAGTCTTATATTTATCTAAGTCTATTCTGTCTTTCATGGTAAGCGACTTGTCTCTAAGATTGAAAGATAAGATATGTGAACGAATATAATGATTTCTGAATCAGTTTATATTTCAGATGCCCTCCGAGTTCTTTTACACTCTAAAGGAACCTACGTACCCTTCAATCCGTCAGAAATTAATGAACTCTCATTTTCTTTCTGAGACTTCGGACCATTAGGTTATGAGAATAGATACGAGGAAGAAAAGAAGGTCTGAATTTTGTATTTCAATTAAATGACTTGGATTACCGAATAAGAGACTTGGATCTATAGATTTTTAAAATAGAAATGTCTATAAGAAGAAAATTTCCGGAATTATCAATATGTATCAACTAGTTCTACTAGGAAAATTAAAGAGATGCATATTTCTGAATCAGACCTTTACAGAATTTTTTCCTCTATATCAGGCAAATTTATAATTTTATCTTAGTTTTCTTATAATATCCTCAATATACATAATTTTCTATAAGTTTCTAGTAGTCTCCCTTTTTTCTACTATCGGCATTTTTTCTTATTTCTTTCAAGAAAAAACAACATGTCTTCTTTTTCGCTTTTTTTGTTTCTAGTTCATCCTGTTTTTCCTAGTACATCTTCCTGTCTGCAAGGGGAATATAGGAAAATTAAAAAAAAAAAAAAAAACATTACAATATAGAATCTTTTAGTTACATTTTGAGTTTGCGCATTGCGCACGACAAACAAACAGGAAGCCAAATATTTTCCACAATCTTTACTTTTATTATTACAAAAAAAAATTTACATAATTTTTAAGGCTATGAAAATAGGATTGATTGTGTGGTTATAAGATGCTAACTAAATAGATAAAAAAGGATTATTTGTAATAATAAAAAAAATATTTATAGAAGGAAATTGGAAACACTAACATTATGACTTTATTAGAAAGTTTTTGAAAAAGAGATTATTGAAATAAATATTTATATTGGTTTTAAAATTTATAAAAACTTAAAGAAGTTCAAGTTGTATTTAGAGACTAAATCGGGATTTACTTTTTAAATTCCTCAAAAACTTATGTTACTTTTTTAGACACTCAACGACGTTTCTCATATCTGACTTTGGTCCAATATCTTTTTGACCCAAAGAGCCGTGTAAAGCTGAATAATATTTCTGTATAGAAAATTTTTCATATTGAAAAGTTTTAATAGAAAAGTTTCAATATTTAGCATTGAAAAGCTTTTTATAGAAAATTTTAAATTTTTATTAAAAATTTTCAATATTGAAAAGTTTTTATAGAACATCCTTAATGTTGAAAAGTTTTTATAGAAAATTTTTAATATTAAAGTTTTTATGAATAATTTTCAATATTAGAAAGTTTTTTTTTATAGAAAACAATCAAAATTCAGACATTATCTATTTTAATATAATAAAAAATTTTCAATACAGAATTGTTTTAAAAAAAAAATTTCATTACTGAATATTTTTGTATAAGAAAAGATAATTTTATAGGAAATTTCTAATTTTTAATATTTTTTAGAGAAAAATATATAAAAATGAATAATTTTTTAAAAAATGTTTTCAAATTTGAACGTTTAAGATATTTATGGATATTTTTCAATAATAGAAAGTTTTTTTTTATAGAAAATTTTCAATATTCAAAAGTTTTTTATAAAAAATTTAAAAGAAAATTTTTTAATATTAAACAAATTTTATAGAAAGTTGTATAAAATTGAATAATTTGTATAGAAGAAGTTTAAAATTTATTATTATAATAGAAAAATTAGCAAATTTTCATATTTTTTAACTAAAAATGTTCAAAATTGAATATTTTTTAAAGAGAAATGTTCAAAGTTTCATATTTTTATTGAAAATTTTCAAAATAGTATATGTTCAAAATATATACTTATACTAGCATTGAAAAGCTTTTTATAGGAAATTTTCAATTTTTATTAAAAATTTTCAATATTGAAAAGTTTTTATAGAACATCCTTAATGTTGAAAAGTTTTTATAGAAAATTTTTAATATTAAAGTTTTTATGAATAATTTTCAATATTAGAAAGTTTTTTTTTATAGAAAACAATCAAAATTCAGACATTATCTATTTTAATATAATAAAAACTTTTCAATACAAAATAGTTTTTAAAAAAAAGTTTTCATTAATGAATATTTTTGTATAAGAAAAGATAATTTTATAGGAAATTTATAATTTTTAATATTTTTTAGAGAAAAATTTATCAAAATAAATAATTTTTAACAAAATTTTTCAATTTAAATAAATTTTTTTATTTATTTTTTATTTTTCAAATTTTTACGTTTTTTTATTTTTTCAAATTTGAACGTTTAAGATATTTATGGATATTTTTCAATAATAGAAAGTTTTTTTTTTATAGAAAATTTTCAATATTCAAAAGTTTTTTATAAAAAAATTAAAAGAAATTTTTTTAATATTAAACAAATTTTATAGAAAGTTGTATAAAATTGAATAATTTGTATAGAAGAAGTTTAAAATTTATTATTTTAATAGAAAAATTAGCAAATTTTCATATTTTTTAACCAAAAATGTTCAAAATTGAATATTTTTTAAAGAGAAATGTTAAAAGTTTCATATTTTTAATGAAAATTATCAAAATAGTATACTTTTTTATAAAAATATTTTAAATTTGTTCATGTTTGAAGAAATTTTCATTAATTATAAAATTTTATAGATAATTTCCTTTATTAAATAGTTATAAAAAGGAACTATCTTATTCAAAACCAGATTTTAAGTTTTATTTGTAAAAAAAGTTTAAATAACCCTATTATTAGGCCCATTACTGTATTTAGGCTGTCTACATTTCAAGCATTCAGCATTTAATTTACATAAATTAATAAAAAAGAGATGATATACACTTACCTTTTTTTAAAACCGTGTAGAGATAATTTTTAGAAAATTTTATTTAATCCAGTTTATAATGATTTAAAATTTGAAATCTTAAAGCAATGACTCGTAGTATTTAAGAAAAAAGTATCTTAATTTTAGACAATTTTTTTATACGGGTGTTTTTATTTATTTTCTTATATTATTTGTTCACTATACATGTACCGAAATACAATTATTTTTATATCATATTTTCTTTTCTGTTTTGCAGAAATTCAGAACAACCACCACTATTTTATTGACAAGGATAATAAACACAAAATAAAATAACAACAACCACACGCAATGAAACAACCAAAAACAAGGATGATTTAAAAAAAAAAAAACAGGAAAAAAAACTGAGATGTTACAAAAACAATATAAACAACAACCGAATTTGCAGACAAACGGGAAACAATACAGAGAAAATACAAAAACAACAATAACTAAAAAACAAACGAAAAAAAAGAAATAACTTTGCAAAAGGAGTGGCGCAGCGTCGCCTTTTTATGTTTCTTTTTTTTCTCAAATGAAAATTTTTTCTCTTTAATACTAATAATTTTCACTTAATTAATTTTAGTTTTTTTTAAGAAATTTAATAAATATCAACAATTACCGGCTTTTTTTTATTATTTATTATTGTGTTTTTGTTTATTCATCAAAAATTATTATTTGTTTGTTTGATTATTTTCGTTTTTGGCAAATCACACACACTCACACAAACACTAAAAAAAGGCTGCTCCGTTTTTTTTTTTACCTTTTCACACTTTTCTGTCGCAGCTAAAAAATCCAATTGGATTTTGATTTTTTTTTTTAACAATTTACACACAAATTTGCACTTTTTATATTTACATTAATTAAACTTCGTTTTTATTGAAGTGCAAACAAAAGTATAAACTTTAATTGTTACAACAATTATTTATTGTTTGACAAAAAATTTACATATATTTTTTTCTTGTTGTATATACACAAGTAAAAATATTTAATGTATGTATTATTATTGTTGTAGACAACAACATAATTTATCTTTTATTCTTCAACTATCCGGTATAATCGTCTGCACTCGGCGTTTTAAAAAACAAAACTGAAGCAGAAAATAAAATTATTCTCTGAGTGTGTTTGCAGGCTTCAGGGTTGTTTAATTCAGTAGCAAATGTACTTATGTAAACAGTACATTGACAGACAAAAGATACAGTAAATTATTATAAATTTCAATGAAAAAAAATAACGTTGTTTTGTTAAAATATTCAATTATTTTAGGCAATGTTCTATATTAAAAATATTTATAGAAAATACATATTTCTATACTAATTTTTTTTTATTAATTTTCAATACCTAAAAGTTTTAAAAAAAAATTTTCTAAAATAAAAAATTTTAAAAGAAAATTTTTAACACCGAAAAGTTTTAATAGAAAATTTTTACAATTGAATACTTTTTCTAAAAACTGTTTAATATTAAGGATATTATTATAGAGCGTTTAAATATAAGAGATTTTTTACAATATTTCTAGTATTCAAGATACAATACAGACATTTTCATAATTAAAATTATTTTCTAGAAAATGTTCTATACTGTAACTTATAATATATATATAAATTTCAAAATTAAAGGTCTTTTCACAAAAAATTTTTAATAATAAAAATATACCTATATAAATATGTATGTACTGAATATTTTAATATTGAGCATTCTTCTTTTTTCTACAAAATTGTAATATTGAATGTTTTTATAGAAAATTTTCCTATATACAAATTTCAATACTGAAGTTTTTTTTTCCCAACCTTTCAGAACTATTTATAAAATGTCAAATTTAAATTGTTGATACGTTTTGCCAGCCCTGATATAATAATATTACCTTTATAAAGCAACTGAGTGCCTTTTAAGTATGACTGCAAGATGGAATTCAAATTAACGGTTTTAATATAAATAGTGAAAATATAACCAATTAAAAATTTATTGGTGTTTTTTAAATTTCCTGTTGAAATGATATTTTCCATAAAATTTCACAAATTCAAAAAAAAACTTCTGTTTTTTAATTTGTAAAAATGTACCCATTATTCTTTCTTCATGCTATCAAATCCTAGTGAATATCAAAAACAAAACAGAAGCTGCATTGTTTACATTTTTTATGAAAAAAAGTCATCTATATTTGACTCATTTCATTAGTGCTTTGTTTCTTTTAGTTTATTTTTATCAGAAAGTGCATCAAAAATTAAAAATCTATTATAAATAATAAAAAAATTAACATGTTATTTAAAATAATTACAATATGTTCAATAATATATCTTGCAAATGCAAAAAACCAAACATGTCCAACGTATTTGAGAGAACTGGCCAATCAACAAACCCTTTTCATATACTGCATTACCACAAATTCAGTTCCTGTGACTATGTGCCTCCGATGTAAAAATCATCACGATGGTGTGTTGCAGGCCTATGATCTCTTGTCAGCAAATTGTGAAAATATATATTTCGATAAGGATCGTATTAATTTAGTGGCTTCCACAGAAATGTTGCTAACAGGACTCTGGACAAAAGCGTATTGTGATGGTAAGTTTTGGCTTTTATTTATGGTCAATTTAAATAATGTTTTAATTGCTTTACCTTTCTTTATAGATTGCTTCAACAATAATAATAGCTTTGTATTTTACGAAAAAAATCAAGTGTTTAATGATTGTTTTCAAAAATACAAGAAAAATCCTTGCGAAAAGTGCAAAAGTCAATATATGGATTTAAATACTTTCTATATCAATTTGGATCAACATAATAATGGAGAAGTTTGCTTTGATTTACAAGACTCAGTAAGTGTTTGTTAGAATCGGTAGGAGAATTACACAAATATTTTTTTAAGAAAAGGAAACATTTAACAAACAATTTCTGTTGAAAAAGAATTTTTAGAAATATTTATAAATAACCCATTTTCAAAAATCTTTAAAAACTGTTAATATGAAATATTCTATAAAATGAGATAATATCTTTAGAGTTTTCAGGGAATTCCCCTTATTAATGTTTTTTTTTGTTTTGTACAATTGACAGATGAATCGTACACGTAACATGTGGTCGAAGGAATTGCATTGTTGTCGTCGTGATTATAATGTAACGTTATTTACAATTGCTTTGGGTATTATTTTATCTTTACCGCTGCTGTTTTATTGCTCAACATATTTGATAACCAAGCGGCAGGAACGCAACCATGATGTTTTAAATGACGAAGGTAAGCGAAAGAGAAGAGGAAAGAAAATATCCTATTAAAAGTTCTTTGTGTGTGATAATTTAAAAGAAATCTCTTTTTTGACTCTTTATCACAATTTACCACAATAATTAACATTTGATCACAAAACATTCTCTAATATGAATTTCGATTACAGAACCCATCACATCATTACCGTCCACATCTAACCGAGCTAATAACTTGAACAATATCAATAATCCAACTCCTACAGTAAGCAACAATCATGCCTCTTCTTCATCAGGCAACACAGCAAACTCCTCTTCAATTTCAAAACCCTCGAATAAACACAATTTCAATATTTTAAATGAAGATTCAGAAAGTTCTGATGATGAAATCGCTCTTAAAACTAAAGATAAATTAAAATAATCATTTCACAAATAAATATTTTTTCATAAATTACAATATTTTTATTAATATAAAATTATTTGGCGTTATACATAATTTAAGTTGTATAAATAAATTATATAAAAATTACATCCATTTAAAATCCGCTTCCATCATTTTCCATAATTGGTAGATTTTAATCGTCTGCCGGTTTTTATGTGCAATCAGGAGGTAGAAGAAGTTTCCATTTAAATGGCTTGAGATCTGTAAAGAGATATGTAATAAAAAAAGAAAAACAACTAAAGGTCCTGATGGTCATTGGTCATAGGTCTTAAAGGGTGATAAAAGATTTAATTGGTATGATTTTTTAACAAAAATTGAAAAAGTCCTAGTCAGATGTCCAACAGTTGTATGGGGGATAAAACTGTAAAGTACAATTTATAAAAAAGCAAAGTTGCAAACGTTAAAGACTGAGGAAACAATTGCCGTAAATAGCAATTTGTTATTAGATATTAAGAAATTAGAAATTTATAGTACAAATTATAGGTTTCAGATTTCAGAATAACAATAATTCTCAATAGAAAGAGAATTTATAGAAAATTCTATACACAAAGAGAAATTGCCGTTTATAAAAGTAATAGATTTTAATAGAACTGCAATTTACTACACAAATTTTCTAAAAAAATAGAAATCATCGTATTCTTCTATAGAGAAAATTTATTGTAAATTTTATATACAGAAAAATTATCGTAAATTTTCTATAGAGAAAAGTTATCGCAAATTTTCTATAGAGAAAATTTATCGTAAATTTTCTATAGAGAAAATTTATCGTAAATTTTCTATAGAGAAAATTTATCGTAAATTTTCTATAGAGAAAATTTATCGTAAATTTTCTATAGAGAAAATTTATCGTAAATTTTCTATAGAGAAAATTTATCGTAAATTTTCTATAGAGAAAATTTATCGTAAATTTTCTATAGAGAAAATTTATCGTAAATTTTCTATAGAGAAAATTTATCGTAAATTTTCTATAGAGAAAATTTATCGTAAATTTTCTATAGAGAAAATTTATTGTAAATTTTCTATAGAGAAAATTTATCGTAAATTTTCTATAGAGAAAATTTATCGTAAATTTTCTATAGAGAAAATTTATCGTAAATTTTCTATAGAGAAAATTTATCGTAAATTTTCTATAGAGAAAATTTATCGTAAATTTTCTATAGAGAAAATTTATCGTAAATTTTCTATAGAGAAAATTTATCGTAAATTTTCTATAGAGAAAATTTATCGTAAATTTTCTATAGAGAAAATTTATCGTAAATTTTCTATAGAGAAAATTTATCGTAAATTTTCTATAGAGAAAATTTATTGAAAATTTTCTATAAAGTAAATTTATTACAAAATTTTCTATAAAGAAAATTTATCGTAAATTTTCTGTAGAGAAAATTTATTGAAAATTTTCTATAGAGAAAATTTATTGAACATTTTCTATAGAGAAAATTTATCGGAAATTTTCTATAGAGAAAATTTATGGGAAATTTTCTATAGAGAAAATTTATGGGAAATTTTCTATAGAGAAAATTTATGAGAAATTTTCTATAGAGAAAATTTATGGGAAATTTTCTATAGAGAAAATTTATGGAAAATTTTCTATAGAGAAAATTTATGGGAAATTTTCTATAGAGAAAATTTATCGTAAATTTTCTATAGAGAAAAATTTTCGTAAATTTCTACAGAGAAAATTTATCGTAAATTTTCTATAGAAAAAATTTATCGTAAATTTTCTATAGAGAAAATTTATCGTAAATTTTTTATAGAGAAAATTTATCGTAAATTTTTTATACAGAAAATTCATCGTAAATTTTCTATAGAGAAAATTTATCGTAAATTTTCTATAGAGAAAATATATCGTAAATTTTCTATAAAGAAAATATATCGTAAATTTTCTATAGAGAAAATATATCGTAAATTTTCTATAGAGAAAATTTATTGAAAATTTTCTATAGAATAAATTTATTAAAAATTTTCTATAGAATAAATTTATTAAAAATTTTCTATAAAGAAAATTTGTCGTAAATTTTCTATAGAGAAAATTTATTAAAAATTTTCCATAAAGAAAATTTATCGTAAATTTTAGAGAAAATTCATCGTAAATTTTCTATAGAGAAAATTTATTGTAAAATTTATTGAAAATTTTCTATAGAGAAAATTTATCGTAAATCTTCTATAGAGAAAATGTATCGTAAATTTTCTATACAGAAAATTTGTCCTAAATCTTCTATAGAGAAAATGTATCGTAAATTTTCAATACAGAAAATTTGTCGTAAATTTTCTATAGAGAAAATTTATCGTAAATTTTCTATAGAGAAAATTTATCGGAAATTTTCTATAGAGAAAATTTATCGGAAATTTTCTATAGAGAAAATTTATTGGAAATTTTCTATAGAGAAAATTTATCGGAAATTTTCTATATTTATCGAAATTTATAGAAAAAATTTATCGAAAATTTTATATAAAAAGAAAATTCCCTTTCTTATTGAAGGTTTTCGAGATATTTTCCTTTTTTATTGAATGTTTTCGGTAAATTTTCCATAAGAAAAAAATTTATCGTAAATTTTCTAAAGGAAAGAAAATTTCTAGTAAATTTTCTATAAGAAAGAAAATTTCTCGAAAATTTTCTATAAGAAAGAAAATTCCTCGTAAATTTTTCTATAAGAAAGAACATTTTTCGAAAATTTTCTATCAAAAACAAAATGTATAGAAAATTTTTTTTGGAAAAGAACATTTTTCGAAAATTTTCTATAAAAAGAAAATGTATCGAAAATTTTTTATAAAAAGAACATTTATCGACAATTTTCTATAAATATAATATAAAGCATGATAAAAATATCATGATATAAAGAGAAAATATATTGAAAATCTTCTACAAAGAGAAACAAGAACCTACTTACATACATTGTACGGCACACACACAATAACATATTTTACAATTTCGCCATTTTATAATTGCACGTTTACAGGTGAAAAGTTATTATCAATGGTTAAGTTGGTTGGTTGATTGTTATTGTTTAGTTCTTAATTTGTTTGTTTTTTTTTTACACAAAATTATACTACATAACTGCCTGCGTTTCCCCCTCAAATAGTAGTGAGAAAGAGGAGTAATGAGTCATTGGAATGGAAGACAGCAATCTTGACAGGCTAAGCAAACAAAACTGACTGCATGCTTGGAAGTGTTTTTTCTACTAAAGGTCTGAAAGACAATAATATAATAGTATTAAAATATTAGTTAATAATAAAATGTTAAAACAATTTTTATGTTAAATATAAAATGAGGAGACAAAACAACAACAACAATATAAATTAACAATTGCGTTGTTTTGCTTATGTGAGAGTAATGAAATAAATAATTAAGTTTTTTGTTTGGTAATTATTCATATGAAGGGACTCTAAAGTAAAAGGAATTTACTTGAATCCTTGGGAATTATTGGGGAACACTTGTATTAGCTATTTACGAAAGTCCATTTAAATGTCTATTTAATTGGAAATGCCTTTTTGTAAGTCCGTTTTTTCTTCTTTTTGAAGTGTTTGAAAAGGTTGGTGGTTGGTGGGGAAATTTATATTATTTCCTTTTGACACTATTTTGCACTTTTTATTTTGGTATTTTTTTATTCAATGATTCTTCTATTTAGCACTTGTTTTAATATATTTTTCTATGAAATAGATTTTCATTTCTTTTGTACCAACACTTTTCAGCTTGAATTTAAAACTTTTCATTATTTCATTCTAACGTTTATTTTTTTTCTTGCAATAACCAACAGTTCGTTTGTTTTTCTTTTTTTAAGGTAAGGAGAGTAGTAAACGTCTTTATATTTAAAAAAGATTTTCAACATAAATTTCTTTCTTTTCAGGTCAGTCTTTTGTTTTCAGATTTGTTTCTTTCTTTTTTTTTTGGGATTGATAACTTTGAAACTTAAACAGTGGCTCTCCACCTTAATTTATTGCAATAAAAAAGTTCATTTTTAAATACGTTTTATTTTTCTTTTTATATGTATTTTTTCAATATTTTTCTTTTTGTATGTTTAATTCTTAAAAGTTTTATATATATAATTATGTAGAAGGAGAAAGAAACTAAATTAAGGTTAAATACTAAATATTAAGTTTTTTTTTTTTAATTTTTTAGTTTTTTTCTTTGTTTAAGCATCAAATTCAAATATTTTTCACACTTATTATTTGTTTTTTTTTTTGTAATTTAAAAAATTTTTCTTATCAATTTTGCTGGTAAGGTGTTGTAATATATTTTTAATTAAAACGATTTAAAACACTTTTAAAAAGTTGAGAATACTTTTTCCATTTTTTGTCGAACACCTTTTTAAAATATTTTGAAATAAAAAAAAAAATCACTACGTTGTATGGAGTAGAGTTGAGTGGAGTGGAGGGAGGTGTGTAATGGTTGGTTAATTTTTCTTTTCTTTTTTTGTTAAAAATAAGAGGCATGTTCTTTTTAAGTTATTACACTTGGCGATTTTCAGTGAAAACACAAAAATTGCATACGATTCGATAATTTTATAAAAATTAGAAAAAATTGAAGAGATAGCAATGAAGCGGTAGATGTTTAAACACTTAACGACGATTATCTCGATAATTACGTCCACTATTACGTTCATTACCGCCACGGAAGTGACGATCACGATCGCCACCACCACTACCACTGCCTCCACTACGTGATGAACCGCCCGCACTACCACCACCACGATGATGGTAGTCATTAGCACGACCTGCACGATCACGCGAACGATTCGCATTAGAATTAGAGCTGGAGTTGCTGTTGCGGTTTCCGCGATAGTTGGAGCTGTTGTTGCCACCAAGACCGCCGGCAGCACTGCTGCCGCTACCACCTCCTGCTGCGGAACTGCTACCACCACCATTACCAGCACCACCTGCCATATTGGGTGGAAAGCCGGGTGGCAAAGTGCCGGTGGGTAGACCAGCATGCTTCCAAGCTGCGAAATCTTCGAATGAAGGAGCATTCTTATCATAACCTGGTGGTGGAGGACGCATGGGCTGGGGTGGAGGATAGTCGGGCAATGGAGGACCATCGTAATATCTAGCCGGTGGCGGCAATTGTTCATAAATGGAGCCTGGCAAGCCAGGAGGTGGTACAGCAGTACCGCCCGGCGTTGGAGGTGGTATTTGACCGAATGGTGGTACAAAAGGCAGTGGCGGCAGCTGGCCATGCATGGTACGCATATAGTCGGCCAAGTAGGCCTCGGCCGCAGCTGTTGGTGTCATATACCTTTCCCAAGGAGGTAAAGAAGAATCACCACCACCTGCTCTCGAGCCGCCACCGCCCCCTGGACCACCACGACCAAAGGGTGAACCACCACGTTTATAACTTGAGCCAGGATGACCCATATGCGGTAATTTGTAAGGGCGATGAGGACCGCCATAAGATCTCTTATGACGCATAGGACCACCACCCTCACGACGATCACCGCCACCACCACTACGATAATGATGATTTCCACGGCCACCACCGCCGCCGCCACGTGATGATAGACTTTTTGGTGGTTTATAAATCACTCGTATGCCCTTCTCCCTCATTACTTTTGCAGTTTCCTTTGATTTCCTTAGAATGGGTGTCAATTCGATTTTCTCGTCTTCCGGGAAGAGACGACATAATTCCGCACCCACCTTAGGTTCTATCTCTTGACCATCACGACCAATTTTTACCGGTTTACCTTCGTTCCATGAATTGTACAAATGGGAGGTACAGTTGAACGATAATTCTTTGCGACAAATCCAGTCTATTTCGATAACACCACCCAATGCTTTAGCTGAGATGCTTGGAGGTAAAACCCATGGTGGTTGGGTTAAATCACGACGTGATTGGGCGCTCATGCGGGCAAAGCCAGCGAATTTTCCTAGAAGGAAGAAAAATAGTTTATTAGGAAAACAAAAGGAAAATATTAGAAAAGATTAGAAAATTTTTAATAAATATAATTTTTTTATAAAAACCATATTTAAAAAAATTTATTTTTGTAGAAAATTTTCGATAAAATTAATTTTTATTTAAAATATTTGATAAATTTTCTTTTTATAGAAAATTGTTCAATGATTTTTTTCTTTTTTTATAGAAAATATTCAATAAATGCTGCTTTTTTATAGAATATTTTCAAACAAAACTTTCTATTATAAAATATATGCAATAAATTTTCCTTTGTTAATAGAAACTTTTTAAGCATTTTTTATAGCAATTATTTTAGTTCAATACTATATTTGTTCTTAGTTAATTATACTCACCGCTCTCATTAACGGAATAGATAAGTAAAACATTACGAGCCTCCTTGAAAGCCTGATTCAAATTGGCATCATTTTGCGGTAATGTGGCCCAGACACTTTTACTCTTCGCAATAGCCACATTGTCAGCATTATTCGATTTGATTAGGAAGAAACGTGTATCACGAAATAAATAATTTAATTTTGTTTTATAATCATACGAAGAGACACTTTTACTACCACCGCCGCCTCCACTACTAGAAGAAACAGTTTTCTTCTCGGGTGAAGCACTTTTCGAGGTATTTTTACGACCATTACGTTTTATATTTGCCGCTGAGTCAGAATCTTCTGATTCGGAATCGCTATCAAATGGAGTAGAGTTTTTCGGTTTGGCGGCTTCGTCATCGCTGGCCTCACTTTTGGCACTGCCACTAATATTGGCATTATTAGAGGAAGTATTTTGTGCATTGTCAATAGATTTTTTGCGTGAGGATTTAGACTCACTAGCCGTTGTTTCACTCTTTTTGTTTTCCAGTGAATCAGTTGAAGTATCAGCGGTTTTGCTGGATTCTGATTTTTTCTTTTTAGAAGCAGATGACTTGCCATTAACAGCTGCTGCATTATCCTTGGAACTTGAGCCGGAACGTTTAAGTGCAGACTTCTTGTTGGCGCTGGAGTCCTTCGAAGACTTGTCCGTTTTTTTAGTTTTTCTCTTCTCTTTAGACTTATTCGATTGCGTGGTACTAACCGAACTAATGCTAGGCTGAGAGTCAGAAGACTCTGAACCAGATTCGGAGGCTTCGCTACGAGTGTCAAATGAATCGTCAAAATGCTGCAGTTCCTCAGCAATGTCCGCCTCATTTTCATCTAAACCCAAATGTACAGCATCTAAATCAGCCATGATTTTCATTGATTTCCTTTTTTGCTGCTTTGCTTACAATAATCAATCGGTTATATATACAATTTCACAAACAAAAAAAGATATTGCAAACAACCCGTAAACACAAATGCGGCTTTTCGTCGTCTCTAATGATTTTTTTTTTCCTTTTGTATACAGTATTTTTATTGTTTTTTCTTACTTGTTTTCCTTCTACTTGACATTCATTCATTAAATTTGTATCGGTGTATGGCAGCAGCAAAAACAAGAGTTGTTTGTGTGTATGTGTGTAAAAAGAGAAAACATGTAGTGAGAAGAGTAACACAAAGAAATTTTTTTTCTATTCAGAACATTTTTTTTTGCCGATCGATGGTTGTATGCCGTTGAATGACAAAATTTATTTTCAATTTTTTCCACTTAAAATGCTTACCTTTTGCAAAACTTTTATTTAATTGTTATAGTATAATGCTAGTTGTAACTTTTTAAACTAATTTCAAGTGAAATTATTAAGTTTTTTCAATAAAATTTATTAATTTTCACAGAGCTTACATCTACACAACTTTTTTCTTTTACTATGCGTCAATTTTTCATTTCATTTGACAATGGCGTAAGAAGAGTACAGCTATAGAGCATAATGAACGAAACTTGACGAAGAACTCGTGTACGATGATAGAATGTCAAAGTGTAAATGTTGCCATATTATTGAGTGGTGAAGAGGAAATAAATTGTATAAATTTAGAACTTAATTTAATTAACATTTTATGTAAAGAGCAATTTTTGTACAAATAATAACAAGAAAAGAAACACTGTAATTTTTTTACAACAATAATATAACGCTCTTTTCACACAATTTCTGTGTAAATCCAACACATTTGTAAGAATTTCACTCTCTTTCAAAACTAATATAAACGCATTATAGTCAAGCATTTTATGGTTATTTAATTTTTATTTTCTTAAATTTTAAAAAATATGAACTTCTTGATAATATTTATTTTTAGGTGAAAATTAAGGAACGCTCTATGGCTTTTTTTAAATATTTTTTATAACCCAGAATATTATACAAAATTATCCAATATAAAAATACAAAAACAAGAAGCATTAATGGGCTAAAAAAGCGTCACAGATGGATAAAGATTTGAATAATCACGAGATTTTGTCAAATAATTTTAAGCTTTTCGTTGCATTCTTTAAAATTACGACTTTATGGTAAAACCGGCAAGTGTGGCAAGCCTTTAGATGTTAACTTTAAAATATACAATGATGCCAGAGTAATACTTTATTGATTTCCTTTTCTATCGAAACGTAAACAAACAATTTTATTTTGTTTTATTCAATGAATTAAACAATATAATATCTTATTCTTTTCACTAGTTTGTTTGTAATTTAGAGTTTTTCCAAACTAAAACCTATTTTAATTTAAAGAAACTATAATTGTAGCTCGGCAGCGTAAAAAATCGTATCAAATAAGATGATAGCATGCTTCTTTATAAGAAGTAGACTAACTTTTTATGTAGGAAGTTTGACATGCCTGTAAGAAAACAACAAAAACAGTTGAGGAATTAAGTCCATGGTGAAATAAATTCTTTTGAGCGCCAACTTAAAAATCTAATTGAAAATCTTTGAAGAAATGCTGCGTAATAGTCAAATATCCATGAAAACATGCAGTTTATGCAGAAAATCTTCTGAAGCTGAAGGTATAGCACTGGTTTATTTTGGGGATTGGATGCAAAAGAAAGAAGTTCTTGTACACTATTACTGCTTGGTGGGTAGTTAAAGAGTTCAAAAATTTTATAACTTTAACATTCTATGATACTTTTTAGTTACTATCCACCCATTTACCGCAACGAGGAGAAGATCACAGTGGTATTTTGGGTTTCCTACTGCGTGATGTACGTCAAGAAATTGCCCTAGCTAAGAAACGTAAATGCAAATATTGCTTTGAGTTTAGTGCAACTATACAATGTTGTAAGTGTAAGGAATATTTTCATATAACTTGTGGTCATACCAGTAAATGCCTTTCGGAATTTGTGGGTGAATTTAAATCCTACTGTCATACTTGTCTGCCAAATGATAAATTTCAAATGGAACTATTTGCCCGCCAACCGCCCAAACCTACCGAAATGTGCCTTATTTGTGCTCAGGCAATGGGTGCAAATCTCAGAGGTTGCATTTATGCCAAATGCTGTGGCAATGGTTATGCCCATTCGAAATGTATGAAAATATATGCCCTATCTGCTGGTTATTATCTAACTTGTATTTGGTGTAAAGATAAACGTTTTCGTGAAGACGTTAAGTATCAGGGTGTGTTTGTGCCGGATCGTGAGGCAAATTGGGAAAAGGAAAAGGGAGCTTATGTTGAATTGTATAGAAGTCATAAACGTTGTGATATGGAAGTGTGTAATTGCCCTAAAGGAAGAGATTATATAAATGGTAGTTAAAGAAAATTCTATTTAAAATTGAAATTAAATAATTTGCAATTATTCTTTCAGCAAAAAAATGGCAACTTATAATTTGTAAATTTTGTGGTGCCTTCGGTGCCCATAATCCCGCTTGTATACCCGGCTTTGAGGACTGTAAAGAAAAGGTACAGGAATTTAAATGTGATGTTTGTTCTCTAACAGAACAAACTGTTCATCATAAAACGATGAGTGGCTTAGCTGCACATGATTTATTAGACACCTCGCTGTATGTTAATAAAGAGAGCACGACTGCTGAAGCGGGATCAGCAATAACTACAATAGCACTAAGTCAATCTTTTAGCACAAATAATAACTATAATGACAGCACTGCGTCACAGGACACGATTATTGATGTTAATTTACTAAAGCGCAATAACTTTGTAATAAACAATAGTAAATGTGCTAATGATGGGGCAAATATACAAATTGCTGCTGGTATTTATACCCTAACACAAAGTCCACAAGTTAGCCAACATCTGGGAGAGTCGGAGAAGGCTGCTGTAGAGATGTTACAAGAAGAAACAACAGTAGCAGATAGTGATGATAGTGCTATAGCTGATTTGTTAGTAGAACAGTTTTTAGATATGTTTGAAGCAAAGGATTAAATTTTTTTTTAATTAAAATTTCTTTTTGTAAGTACATAATATATTGTTTAATTTTCTAATAATATGGTATGAACCATACGCAATATTACGGTGCCCAAATTAGACTCCAATGATACTGTAATTCAGTCTATAGAATAGTCTAAAGTCTGGATAGTGTTCAAAATAGAATAGTCTGAAATCTGGACCATAAAACAGTCTTAAATCTTGACTATATAATAATCGTTAGCGATTCCATTAATTATATTCAGACAATAGTGTTAAATTCAAAATAATTAAAATCCATTTATTTAATAACAATAAACCATTTTATTAAAATTTATTCTCAAATTGATAGTACCAATCAATTTGACTCTGAATCAAAGAAGATTTCGATGTTTGCAGAACATTCTCAAAATCTTTCATTACAATTTCGCTACAATTAAAATCACGCTGAAAGGCCTGCATAGCAGCTTCATTGCAAAGATTACAAATATCGGCACCAGAATAATTCTCCGTACGTTTGGCTATAACATCTAAATCAACACAAGGAGAAAATGGCATTTTGAATTTATATAAATCGAGTATAGAACGTCTCGATAGGAAATCAGGAGCTGGTACATGAATTAATTTGTCAAAACGTCCTGGACGCATAAGGGCATCATCGACCATATCAGGACGATTTGTAGCGCCAACGACGAGTATGTGAGCACTTTGACCGGATGCCGCTATAACTCCGTCCATTTCCGTTAAAAGGGTGGAGAGTATGCGTACTTGAACATCGCCAGAATTTGAGCCAGAGGAAGCTAAAGATCTACGGCCTACAAGCGAATCTGAAATGAAAATCAATATTAAAATTTTAAAGTCTGGTGATCGATTATTCATCCCACTTACCAATTTCATCTAAAAATATCAAACAAGGAGAATTTTTTCGTGCCGTTTGGAATATTTTCGCTATAAACTTTTCAGCACAGCCCACATATGGTGAATAGACTTCAGCACCAGAGGTGGCTATAAAAGTCATATTGGCCTCGGTAGCTAAACATTTAGCTATGGTTGTCTTGGCACAACCAGGTGGTCCATATAACAGTACGCCTTTAGGCAAACTTAAACCGAATCTTTTGAAAGACTCTTCTTGTTTTAGACCAGCTAAAACGGAAACTTCCAAAATTTTCTTTAATTCCAACATACCACCTATAGATTCAAATGTTTCTGAGGTTCTAAAGGCTGTTACATCAGTACCCTTTAAGGAAATTGGTTTAGATTTCTTTAAAATGTCAATGATAACCATTTCAAAATCCTCCTTTTCTTCCGTTTTCGTCAATATCGCTTGGACTATATTGCGCACTAGTAACGTTAAGTCTGCTATAACATAACCTTGTGTATGTTTCGCCATTGTTTCCAGAATTGTTTGAGTTATATTAAAGTTAGGTATACTATGTTTTAGTAATTCCTTTAAAATATACTTGCGATGTCCTTCTTGTAAGGAAGCTATTGAAATTTCATGTTCAAATCGGCCGGGACGTCTAACAAGTTCATTGAGATTGTCTGGTTTGGAAGTGGTGGCCAAGCACATTACATTAGTTCGATTCGTAAAAAGAGCATCTACCAGAGATAATAATTGTGCTGAAATACGCATAGAATTTGCTAAAGCATCGGAGCTGTTACCGGCTGTGGAAGTAGACTGGGGACAAAGCAGATGTAGCTCTTCTAGTAGTATAACAGTGGGATCTGCAAAAGATCTCCTTTTATAAAAATTTTCATACATTTTGATAAATTTTTGAAAAAATTTTACCTTTAGCCTTAAATTTATTTTCAAAATCACTTGCAGCTTTAAATATTTTTCTCAATTCAGCTTCTGTTTCTCCTGGATACTGCTTTAGGCAATTTCCAATTTCAATGCGAAAAATATTACAACGATGGTTCTGTAAAAACTCCTCCACTAAAGTAGTTTTGCCACTACCCACTGGACCAATTACGAGAGCATTTAGACTCATGTTCAAATATCTTTTGTGAGAACGTTGCATGCATACAAATTTCATTAAATCCTGCAGTTCTTGTTGAACGTTAGAAAACGGTTCAACATTTAACGGCAGCCGTTCTCTTTTAAAGTTGTTGTAAGTTAAAGAAATATTTTTTATAATTACATTACAAGTATCTGTTATGAAATAAATGCCTTCGTCTTTGTAATCCTCAAGTTCTATGCTAATATAATCTACGCCATTGTCCAGAAGAAATTCGTCCTTGATGGAGCTATCGTGCGTCAAGTGGTATTTTTGTAGCAAAGTTTTAGCCAATTCCAATAAATGCGTTTTAGTTAAAAATCCTGAATTTTTAATAAAATATTCTGGATTTAATTTAATGAAAACACTAACTTGATTAATTTCTTGAGGGTTTTCCAACAAATGGCATTCTTTTAATGTTAATTGTTGATCATCATTGAAATGATAGTTGGTTACATTAGCATCCATATAACAAGCTTCCTCAATGTCTGGTCGAGGAAATATTTGTGCTATTGCATAATTTTGTCTCTCCGATGTGGATTCTTTAAAGTAACATTTGGACCATTGTCCGGGTGTAGCAGTGGCAGGAAATTTATCTTTGGGTATTAAACATTTTTGATAACTTAGATTGTCTATTGTGTTCAAAGGTAAGATGAGCAAGTTTTTATTGAGCAGCATTTTTGTTGTAATACATTATAAAAGTATACAAATAATAAATATAATTTTTTTAATTAATAAATAAACAAAAAAAGTAAAAAATTCAAACAAAACTCAATAAACAGAAAAGAACCACATTTGTTTTGGGATATTTTTGCAAAAAAGTAATGCCAAGTTGGGGAATTTGATAAAGCCAAATTGCCACATTTAAAAAATAAAATTTCCCTTGTTTAAACTTATCTTAAAGTTTTTATTAATTTAAGAATTAAGAAACATTTTACCAAAATCTTCAAAGTTTTCTTTAAAAATTTCCTGATGGATTTGTTAAAATTATGAGAATATATTATGCGTACTAAATGACATCACTTTGAAAATTATGATGGCCATGCCGCCGTTAAAATTTTATAGTCTTGGCGCCATATTATTTAATATAAGCCGCCTACGTTAATGCATGTCAGCGCAGTTCTCTGTCGGCGTCAGAGACTTGCGCCGACTAAGCCTAGCCGCCGAACAAAATGTGAAAGCCGCCGCCGCCGAAAATTTTTCAGCTTAATACGGCTTGAAAATTTCGCCATATTTTGTACAATTTACAGAAAACTTTCGCTAAATTTATGGAATTTTACAATATAAAATTAATTTGTTTTCATTTAAGCAAGTTTTCTTTTATCTAATAATAAGCCGCTCATTGAAATTTGACCGGTGTAGAACTTTGCTCAACGTTCGATGTATATGCTTCGCCTCAGATATTTTCGTGTTTTACGCGCCTAATTCGAGTCGCTGCTTTTACTTCAAACCAGCTTCGTTGACGTCAACGGAGCTACACCTTTTTACATTGCTGGTATGTCATACCGTAAAGGGCTAGGGTATCAAACATGGAATGCCCACAAGAGAGTGGCAATTGTATACCTCCCTAGTCACCTAGGCGGGTGGTGGTCGGTCGGCTAGTGATGACATGGTATATTATCACCTAGAGGCAATGGACGGAAGCTGATTGCCGTATTCAGGGGGTATCCTTGGGATACATACTTATTATTATACCATTGATCTCAGCATAATCACTACCATACACCCATAATAGAGCGCGATGTCTGTCTGGTGTGCCTTTCAGTGAAGCTCTTGTTGTCTCCAAACACTATGGTGGCCGAATATTTACAAAAAACAATTGTTAAGCCGCCTTTTATACAAATTTATAGCTTTGTAGAGAATATTCGGACGTTTAAGAGGTGAAAATTGTACCTATTTTTGGTACTTTTTTATAAAAAATTGTTTTTGGTTTATTAACTTATACATATGAATACATAATAACGGGCTCCCAATACGATGTTGCAACTGGTACTTTTTTGACTTAGAAGTTAGAAACATGTAATTAAGCACATGAGAATCTATAAAAGTGGACTTTTTGGTACTTTTTCGTTCTTCAAAAGGTACTTTTTGAGTTTTCTATTAAATTGAACATAGAAACATGAAATTCTGCACTTAGAGCCTGGAGTAAATGTGAATCTATAAAATGGCACTTTTTGGTACTTTTTCGTTCTTTGTCTGGTACTTTTTGAGCTTGCTACAAAATTTGAACCTCGAAACATGAAATTAAGCACTTAGAGCCTGGAGTAAATGAGAATCTATAAAATGGGAACTTTATCGTACTTCGACTGGTACTTTTTGAGTTTTCCATAAAATTAAACCTAGAAACATAAAAATAAATATGTAGAGCCCGGAGTAAATTATAATCTATAAAAAGGGACTTTTTAGTACTTTTTCGTTCTTCGACTGGTACTTTTTGAATTTTTTATAATATTGAACCTAGAAACATGAAATTAAGAATGTACAGCCCGGATTAAGTGATAACATATAAAAGGGGACTTTTTGGTACTGTTTCGTTCTTCGACTGGTACTTTTTGAATTTTTTATAATATTGAACCTAGAAACATGAAATTAAGAATGTACAGCCCGGATTAAGTGATAACATATAAAAGGGGACTTTTTGGTACTTTTTCGTTCTTCAAAAGGTATTTTTTTAATTTTCTATAATATTGAACCTATAGACATAAAATTAAACCTGTAGGGCATGGAGTAAGTGAGAACATATAAAACGGGACATTTTGGAACTTTTTCGTTCTTCAACTGGTTCTATTTGAATTTTATATTATAATGAACCTAAAAACACAAAACTAAGCAATCAGAGACTTGAGTGAATGAAAATTTAAAATGGAGTATTTATGGTAATTTTTCGTTCTTTAACTGGTACATTTTGAATTTTCTAAAATATTGAATATATAAACATAAACTTAAACACGCAGTATCCTAATTCAACGAAAATTTATCTCGCTTACATCCATTTTGCAAAAAGCTCTCGATATTAATCGAAATCTCTATAGGCCATAATTGACCCTGCCCCCTTCAATAATTGATTTTAACGTATTCTATGTACTTATCAATACCATAATAAAACAATTTTTGTTGGAACGAAAATATGTAATGTAAATATGTATATGAAATCTTCTTCAGAAAATGACTTAAACGCACATAAATGGCTTTTAAATTTCGATGTCTACGAAAAAAATATTTTTAGGAACCGAAACCTACATTTATGAAAAATAAAATTATGAGGATCGGTCCGCCAATATAACTCTCTTACAGAAAATCTGTTTATAGCTAATACATCATTCCAAAAGTTATCATTATGATAGAATTATGGTAGAATTAGAAACAATACTTTAAATTATAGAGAACTTTGTCCATAATTGATCCAATTCCACATTTAAGCCCCTAATCCGAAAATCACGGTGACGTTCTTATTAATCTAATGATCAAAGTCCATGTATATATATATATATATATATATATATATATATATATATATATATATATATATGACCACTTCCAAAATTTGCTTTTTTACGACATATGATTTACCGAATATAACTCTTACTTCTTACTTATTTTAATCATAAATTACCGCTAAAATAGGAACAGTCTGCCTTTAGAGTTGCGAGTTTTCATACACTCTAAGAATGTTTTCAAAGTGAAACTTTTGGAATATTTTTCAATCTCTTTGTGATCCCTTTAAATGATGTTGTTCTGGAAGAACTTTAACATCCATGTAAACATTTTGGGTAATAAATTGGGGGACTACCAATGAGGGGAGCGGAACCTCCCATATGAATTAAATACAAAAATTCGTTTATCTGGGAAACTAATAGAACTAAATTCTTAAAATTTTGCACGAAGAACTTTAATATTCATCTGAACATTTTGGAGAAAAAAGGGCGGACTTTCATCTGGGGGGCTTGAATTAAATAGAAAAATTCGTATATCTGAGAAACTATTAGAGCTAGAATCTTCAAATTTTACTGAAGAGCATTTAGAGAATAACGGGCGGACTTTCAATGGGAGGCTTGGCACTTCCCATATGAATTTAATACAAAATTTTATATATCTGGGAATCTATTAGATTATTAAACTTTTTCATAGATTAAATTAAAATCTTAATTAACGTTCGGAATAATTGGCGAAATTGCAATAATTTGCGTGGAATCTCCCATATGTAACAAATTGTATATCTGGAAAACCAATGTAGTTAGAATCATCAAAATCGTTAAGTGGGTTTCTTATTTATATTGCTTTTAGGGTAGCACAGCACACTGGGTATAGCTAGTAAATAAACAAATAAAAAATCGTTGTTTTTACGTTATTGATCATTTTCTTAATGCAAAATTTTTTAGAAACTGATTTTCTGAAAATTTTTTTATATGGAGGATAGGGTTAAATATCGGTAGATCCTAGTAAAACTTGGAGAAAGGATTTGTTTTTAATTTTTACGAATTTTTTATTCATCCCTGCATAATTTCTCACACAACTTTTGAGCTTGCTCTGTTTTGTTGTTATAAACAATATATTTGCTTCCAAAATCCCACTTTCTGATCTCTCGGATTCCGTTTTTATTTAAAATCGTAGAAAAATTAAAAACTAAACGTAGTTGAAAACTTAGCCGGCTTACAGTCGATTTTAAGCCGCCGCCGACATATTTAGTGTTAGTCGCCGCTGCCGTTAATATTTGTCGGCGCAGGGCTCTGGTCGGCGTGCTAAAAAAAAGAGGTAAACAAAAAGATTTGCGGAAAATTGTTAAAATTTTAAAGAAAATTTAATACTAATTTAAAAATAAAAAGTAAAAAATGGAAACAAAAGGCGTCGCCCATAAGTTAGATGCCAAAGAACGAACTGACGATGTGCGTCTTAAAGAATTAGCGCCTTTCAGTAAAATGTTGCTTTCCGAACCAGTGCGTAAGGGTTTACATGCAGCCGGCTTTATGTATCCCACGGTAATACAGGCCACTGCCATACCAGTGGGTAAATCGGGAATGGGTAAATAAAACAACTATATAGGTATTCAAGAATTGAAATAGTGTATTTCCTTATTTTCTTTAACTTTCCAGATCTTTTGGTTCAATCTAAATCGGGCACTGGAAAAACTTTAATTTTTTCCACCATCGTGCTGGAATTCTATCGCAGTGACTTGCGGGAACCTCAATCGCTGATTGTGGCTCCCACTCGTGAAATTGCCGTGCAAATTGAAGAAATTCTTAATGAAATTGGTAAATATTGTGCGGGGTTCCGTGCCGTTTGTGTAATTGGTGGTATGGATGTGGCCGAAGATCGTAAACGTTTGCAGGTTGCCAAATGTGTGGTCGGTACTCCCGGCAGAATTTTACATTTAATACAAAATGAGGTATTAAATACTTCGCAAATATCGCTGTTGGTCTTGGATGAGGCTGATAAAATGTATACACAAACTTTTCGCCAAGATTTACAGAGAATACGCAAAGCTTTGCCGAATCGCAAACAGACCATAGCCTGCAGCGCCACATTTGTGGATAATTTAGATAAGGAATTAGCTAAAATTATGAAAAATCCTTTGTTGATATCGACCGAGGAGCGCGCTACTCTCTTGGTGGGAATTAAACAATTTGTGTATGAATTACCCGAACAGAAAACTAGTATTCTGGAAATGCAGTTGAAACTGGAGGCCTTAAGACACTTATTTGGCAGAATAGCTTTTAAACAGTGCTTAATATTTGCGGGATCTCAGTCACGTGCTGATTCGTATCGCAATTATTTAGAAAAGGATGGTTGGCCTTGTGAATTAATATCAGGGGCTCAGGATCAAAAGACACGTTTGGAAAATTTCCGTAAATTTCGTGAATTCAAAACGCGCATACTTATGGCCACCGACTTAATGGCTCGAGGTGTGGATTCGGAACATGTAAATTTGGTTATTAATCTTGAGCTACCGCAAGATGTGGTGACTTATCTTCATAGAATAGGTCGAGCAGGACGTTTTGGTTCTCATGGTCTAGCCATAAGTTTTGTGTCCTCGGAAAAAGATCATAAAACATTTAAAAAACTTATAACAGAAGTTGGCACCGGCATGAAGGTATTCAAATTTCCTTCAAAAGACCAAACCGAAAAAGAACCAAGAGATCTATGGAATTTTGGAGAATTTGCAGAAGATGCCAAATACTTTGGTGTCTATCAAAGTGATATGCAGAAACTATTGGCTCCTTTGGCCTCACAAGATAATATAACACTTTCATCCTCTTTATCTGATAATAAGGAAAACCTTACAAATAATATTTCCTCCCAGCAACAATCGTCGATTGACACCAATACTTTTCTAGTCAATTCTAAAGATAGTGCTTTACTAGTACCCAACTTGTCTAGTGAACATTTTATTGCTCAAAAAATCGCCATAAGTCCTACTTCAAATAATGAGGCTCTACTCAATGACTTGCCGCCCTTAGGCACTCCACCACCACCGCCAAATCCTTCGGAAAATCTTAATACAGCTGGTGAATCTCATAATAGTTCTTCACATCATTTATTAACTTCGAATACAATTGATGATGCTAGTAGCATTGCGGCCGATAGTTTGCGCAGTAGCCAACAGGATATTTCTCGTTATCAATCGGTTTTAATGCAGAAATCGGCTATACCTACTTTAGTAGAGTTTTTGGTCGATCGTCATTCTTCACAGGATTCACAGACAAAGGAAAATGGTGAACCATGTACGAAAATTGATCTGTTTGATGCCTATACCAAGGAGGTTTTAAATAATAATGAATCTTTGACTGAGGTAAGTTGTATAAACAAAATTTTATAAGTTTTTTCCATATTAAAAGATTCCTTGATCTTTAGAATTAAGTAATTATATATTATGTTCTCAATAAATTTTGGTCTACATTATTTTCTAACTAAATATAAAATAAGATCGGAGTTTTGCATTACAAATTATATGCTTTTTGTTTCTAGTCAGACTCCTGTTAAACCTATTTCTTTTGCTACTTTTTTCCAGCCTGTTATAACCTCCGATGAACCCTTGTTATCCTCTAATAAATTAGCTCAATTGAAATCTTTACTTATCGATAAACCCGAAGAAAAATCACCCATCAATGAAGTACAAGATTTGTATTCCGATTTTGCCAATTTTCAAGAAGATGACATTTCGACTTCTGTCTCCGAAGATATTGATAAACAAACTTTTATACTATCGGTAGCTACACCTTCAGTGCAACAGGATTCATTTTCAGAATTACAAAATAATTCTTCAGATTTATATCCAGCTACAGATGAAACAAACATAAGCACCGAAACACCAAGAGGTGAAAAGGAACACAAACATTTTCCCTCACCGGCACACAATCAAATGCCGGAATTTATGCCAGATATTTTGTCGGGACAAATGCAAAAAAATAAACCACAACAGCAGCATCAAAAGTTACAGCAAAAGTTATCCATTAATAAAACAGCTCAAGTAAGTTATTGTAAACTATGTACAGTTCTTAAGCTGTAATCATTGTAATATATTTTTCAGATTGAAATTCCACCTTATCAATCTCCACCTAATTCCGTGTCACCTTTAGTAAATGCTTTGGAAAATAATGAAAATAATTCAACACCTTCTACTGAAAGATCTTCATCGGATACTGCTGCTTCGCCACAAGAAGAAGTTTTAGATAATTCTGGCTCTGATGTAGAACGTAGTGGTAATACAAGTGGTTTTGATGAAAAAACCTCAACTTCTGGTTCCTCGGGTATAGAATCCTCTGAGCATAATAATGCCACAGTAGGACCTCAACAAATTCCCTTGTACTATACATCCAGTGAAGATGATTCATATGAAAGTGATGACGAAGAGGAGGAAGAAGAAGAAGAGGAAGAGGAAGAAGACGATGATGATGAAAGTGAACATTATTTTAATACAGATGAAGAAGCTGCGGAAGAGGATGATGACGATGACGAGGATAATTTAGTTGAATGTTTTGACAATACCATGGCCACAAATTTCCCTCTAAACCATACTAGAACTACCACCACCCGTAATCACAGCAGCAACTCATCTAATACTTTAACAAATGCTACACCAGATTCTCTTAATTTAGCCTATCAATCGGCTTATTCCCGCTGGGTGGATTTATATTGGAATCAAATGACTTTGGTACAAGATTATGTTAAATTTTTCCAATTTACTAGACAACAACAGCAACAAAATGAATAGACATAAATTCCAATTAATTTAATTGTTGTCTAAAGGACATTCGAATTTTCTTGTTAATTTTTATATTTTGTTTTTAAGGAATCTGGTATTTCTTTATTATTTTTCTATGAAAATCTATAGATTTGAATTTAATTTTAAGACTACCTTAACTGAATTAAAGCATATAAATAAAAGTATTATATATAGTGGATATAGAAAGAATTTAAAGCGATTTTATTTTAAAAACAAAAGAGAAAGAGCGGGGGGTTTAACTTATCGCAAACATAACTCTCTATCAAATAATGATTATTGCCACAAAATCTCTTAATATATTTAATTAAATAATTGTTACTTTAACCATGATGATGACTAAATATGAAACACAAAAAAAAAAAAAAAAAAATAATTTTCATGTTCATCTGTCCATATCTATAAAATCAGAAGTTAATCATTGTCATAAGTGTTAAATGAATTAAATATACGTTGTGTTTAAAGTGCTATAAACATTATCATCAGTTGTTCATAATAAATTAATAAATGTTCAAAAGTATTGATGTGTTTTAACAACAACAACAAACATTTTGCAACATCATCATCTTCTTTATAATAATAATTTTCTTTAACACTGAGAAGTTTGTTGTCGATAAAATACCATGAATGCGTGAAATTAATGTGTCTTTGGGCGATTTGTTAAAAAGTTGTTACAAAATTATATGAATTATAAAAAGGAGAGAAAAACAGAGAGACGAGTTACAACATGATAAGTTGTAGACTTTTAAGATTTATTAGATAAATATATTTAATAAATACTATTATTTGTTTATTGGGAAATTAATAATAGAAATTATGGTATTTTTTTATTAATTTCATGATTAATTATAAATTAAAATATAATTGTAGGGGAGATAACTAAAAATAATGTTTTGTTTTAGAGTGTGTGTCTTAAGTCTTTTGTTTTTGAAATGGTGAATGAGTGAAAATTATAGAAAACGTTTTAATATTTTTCAGCGAATTTTCTTTTTATAAAAGACTTCCTTTTCTGTTGAAAATTTTCGATACATTTTTCTTTCTATAGAAATTTTTCGATAAATTTTCTTTTTTATAGAAAATTTTCGATAAATTTTATTTTCTATAGAAAATTGTCAATAAATTTTCCTTTTTTATAAAAAAATTTTCAAAAAAATTTATTTTCTATAGAAAACTTTCGATAAATTTTCTTTTTTATAGAAAATTTTCGATAAATTTTCTTTTTTATAGAAAATTTTCGATAAATTTTCTTTTTTATAGAAAATTTTCGATAAATTTTCTTTTTTATAGAAAATTTTCGATAAATTTTCTTTTTTATAGAAAATTTTCGATAAATTTTCTTTTTTATAGAAAATTTTCGATAAATTTTTTTTTTATAGAAAATTTTCGATAAATTTTCTTTTTTATAGAAAATTTTCGATAAATTTTCTTTTTTATAGAAAATTTTCGATAAATTTTCTTTTTTATAGGAAATTTTCGATAAATTTTCTTTTTTATAGAAAATTTTCGATAAATTTTCTTTTTTATAGAAAATTTTCGATAAATTTAGATTTTTAAAAGAAAATTTTCGTATATTTTCTTTTTTAAAGAAAATTTTCAATAAATTTAGATTTTTTTATATAAAATTGTCGATAAATTTAGTTTTTTATAGAAAATTGCCGATAAATTTTATTTTTTTATAGAAAATTTTCGATAAATTTTCTTTTCTATAGAAAATAAATTTCGATAAATTTTCTTTTTTTTTTAAAGAAAATTTTTGAAAATTTTCTTTTTTAAAGAAAATTTTTGATAAATTTTCTTTTTTAAAAGAAAATTTTTGATAAATTTTCTTTTTTAAAAGAAAGTTTTAGATAAATTTTCTTTTTTAAAAGAAAATTTTCAATAAATTTTCTTCTTTTTAAAAATTTTCAATAAATTTTCTTCTTTAAAGAAAATTTTCAATAAATTTAGTTTTTTTTATAGAAAATTTTGATATTTCTATAGAAAATTTTCGATAAATTTTCTTTTTTAAAAGAAAATTTTCAATAAATTTTCTTCTTTTTAAAAATGTTCAATAAATTTTCTTTTTTAAAAGAAAAATTTCAATAAATTTAGTTTTTTATATAAAATTTTCGATAAATTTTTGATAAATTTTCTTTTTAAAAGAAAATTTTTGATAAATTTTCTTTTTTAAAAGAAAATTTTTGATAAATTTTCTTTTTTAAAAGAAAATTTTTGATAAATTTTCTTTTTTAAATTTTGTTTCTTTATAGAAAATTTTGATATTTCTATAGAAAATTTTAAATAAATTTTCTTTTCCATAGAAAATTTTCGATAAATTTTTTTTCTTTGGAAAATTTTTGACAAATTGTCTTTTCTATAGAAAACTTTCTATAAATATTCTTTTTTATAAAAAATTTTTTACAAATTTTCTTTTTTATAGAAAAATTTCGATTATTTTTTTTTATTGATAAGTTTTCTTTTTTATGGAAAATTTTCGATAAGTTTACTTTTTTATAGAAAATTTTCAATAAGTTTTCTTTTTTATAGAAAATTGTCGATAAATTTTGTTTTTTTAAAACAAAATTTTCGTAAATTTTCTTTTTTAAAATAAAATTTTCAATAAATTTAGTTTTTTTATAGAAAATTGTCGATAAATTTTATTTTTTTACAGATAATTTTCGATAAATTTTCTTTTCTATAGAAAATTTTTATAAATTTTCTTTTCCATAGAAAATTTTCTTTTCTATAAAAAATTTTTTAAAAATTTTCTTTTTTATAGAAAATTTTCGATGAATTTTCTTTTTAAAAAGAAAATTTTCAATAAATTTTCTTCTTTAAAGAAAATTTTCAATAAGTTTTCTTCTTTAAAGAAAATTTTCAATAAATTTAGTTTTTTTATAGAAAATTTTGATATTTCTATAGAAAATTTTCGATAAATTTTTTTTCTATAGAAAATTTTAAATAAATTTTCTTTTCCATAGAAAATTTTCGATAAATTTTATTTTTTATGGAAAATTTTCGAAAAATTTTTCTTTTCTATAGAAAATTTTTGATAAATTTTTTTTTCTTTAGAAATTTTTTGACAAATTGTATTTTCTATAGAAAACTTTCGATAAATTTTCTTTTTTATAGAAAAATTTCGATGAATTTTCTTTTTTATAGAAAAATTTCGATGAATTTTCTTTTTATAGAAAATTTACAATAAATTTCTTTTTTTTATAAAAAATTTTCAATAAATTTCATTAAATTAATTGAAGAACATTTTATTGAAAAATTTTTTTTATAGAAAATTTATTCTTTTCTATAGAAAATATTATTTTCTTCAATCTATACTTAAATTTAAAAAGATTTTCAATTGTAGCTGTTTTAATATTTAGTTGTTTTAAACAATTTCAATTAAGATATTAACATTCAAAAAGTAATTAAACATTTTTTGAACATTAAATGGTGTAAAAATCTATTTATTTTACTAAAACAACTGATCTGTGATAAAAATGTAGTAATAATTCATACGTTTACTAACCGCATTAAAGTACATTAAAACAAAAACTTAAAAGTAACCAAAGTAATTTTCATATATGTATAACTTAATTAAAATTTTCCTCAGCTTGTTGTTAATTAATTGGGCGTTTCAACTGGTTTCCTTTATATAATTTTATTATTAAAACAAAAATCCTTGTCTACCATTAAAAATTTGTACCGGGTAAGAGTAGTTAGTTTAACTATAAACATAAGTACCTAGTATTATTAAATAAAAAACAACAACAATTTATATTTGTTTTTAAATCATTAAATAACTTTACACCTGCATCATTTTCTCATCCATGGTTTTAGATTTTTTTTTGTTACTCGTTGTTGGGGTTATAACTTCAGAAAGGAAAACATTGAATGGAAAAAAATAAAAAAAAAACTCTTGTACATGACTTTTATTACTTTATATGTACTGTCAGTTGTAGTAGTTGTAGTTGTTTTCTTGCATCTACAACACATAATTATTAGTTTGTTTATGCAGATTTGTTATTCGATAAATTTATGTTTACTTTAACATTAAAGTCACCTTCAAAAATTACACTTGCTAATAAAACTACAACAAATTTTTACTTAAAGAAAAAACAAAATTACACAGCAAATAATATTTTATTAGTCATTTAGTTTTTCGCTGATTTAATTAATGTTTAAATTTGCTTTCAAATGGATATATATGTACAATATATTTATTCAAAAGTTTCTTAGAATTCTCAGTTAGTTAAAAATATATACGCTTGATTAAAATGTACATTAATTTAATTGATCAAAAGTTTTATCAAAATATTAATGTTATGGTTTGCAATCAATTAAGTCGTTACTGCATTCAATTACAAACTTTGTTCTAGTGTTGTTATAATTTAATTCAGATTTAATCGCCCTTTTGTTTGATTCAATTATTTCTTTATTTGAAACTAATTCCCTTGTAGTTTTTTTCTTTGTGTACATAAAGTCGAAACAGAATTTTAGCCACAAGACTTATGTGTTTGGGACTACAAGTATTTAGCAACTGCTTTAACTATACAGTCTAAATAAATATTAGTCTTATTCATGCAAATAATAGTAGTGATTCTACACATGGAATTTTCTAACACAATACTTTTGTATTTGAAAAAAAACAAAAAAAAAAAAAAATTGAAAAAAAAAAAATGTTAGAGATTTGCATGTTGCTTTGAATTGTTTTTGGTGGTGTTTTGTTGATGCGCTGTGCAAAATTTGGCCCTAAACTAGACTATAGACTAGACTATAGACTAGACTATAGACTAGACTATAGACTAGACTATAGACTAGACTATAGACTAGACTATAGACTAGACTATAGACTAGACTATAGACTAGACTATAGACTAGACTATAGACTAGACTATAGACTAGACTATAGACTAGACTATAGACTAGACTATAGACTAGACTATAGACTAGACTATAGACTAGACTATAGACTAGACTATAGACTAGACTATAGACTAGACTATAGACTAGACTATAGACTAGACTATAGACTAGACTATAGACTAGACTATAGACTAGATATAGCTATAGACTAGACTATAGACTAGACTATAGACTAGACTATAGACTAGACTATAGACTAGACTATAGACTAGACTATAGACTAGACTATAGACTAGACTATAGACTAGACTATAGACTAGACTATAGACTAGACTATAGACTAGACTATAGAC